TATAGCTCTTTGACTTTTGCTTCTGGGAGCATTGTTACTTCCAGCACGAGCTATCTGGGCTCTAGTAACAACCATTGATAGTGATTGTACGTGCTGTTGAATCTCAGCTGCAGCCAGAAAAGTTAGAGCCGTCTGCAAAACCTAGCACAAGTCCTAGTGTGGTTTCTTTATTTCTTTATTACCTTGCCTTCTGTGGTGTCTCCTTATCAGATAGCTCAGGCAACTCCCAATATTTGACTTCAAAGTTTCTTTAAACAACTCACAGTATTGCAGCGTAGTTCCTGCCCGGCCTTGAATTTTCCTTGAAAGAGTCTCAGTCCTTTCCAAACATTGTGTTGCTGATAAACTCCCCCGGGAGACTCAACGCTTCTTCCTCTCTATGGCTCCAGGCACCACCGGTAAGCAAAGTTCTTTAATAAAACAACTTGAGCAGTTGAATACTTTGTAGGTATTAAAAATAAGGATTAAAGATTAAAAAGGGAGCAGAGCTTGATATCAACGCTGTTCCTCCCTCAAACCGGAACCGGAAGCACACTGATAGACTACAACCACAAGCCTTAAAGAACAGAACATTCTATGATTCTGGCCAAGAAAGAATCCTCTGGACCTGAAGGCAGAATTGACTTGACAGCACATGGTCATGCTTATTATTAAACTGCTTTGGAAGGCTTTATCTCTTGAATCAATCATTCAATAAATTCCTGGAGGTTTCAAAGGATTAGTATTCCCACCCACCCCCAGCAAATTAATACAGCTGTTTTTCCCACAATCCCGTCACAATTTATAACTGTTCAATGAGACAGCACACAGTGCTCACTGTTGCTGGCTAAAACATTGGTAGAAATAGAAATGATGCTACTGCTAAAATAAAGACATACATCATACGTACCTTCCAAGTCTCCCAAATTCGTTTGTAGGCAACTTCAAAGTCCAATACTCCCTCTAGCCAAAGGCTTCTGTTTGTTCCATCACCTGCTTCCCATGCCAATAGGAAGTCACCTTCTTCGGTGACATTTATGCTTAGTTTCTGGGGTGGAGGAGGTTGGACTGAGACAATGAATAACAAACAAAAAAACAAAAAAACAAACAGATTAATCTTTGCTCAGGTAGAAGAGCCCATCTGGACAGCAAACCCATCCAACAATCAAGTTGCCTCCTCCTAGAGAGTTGCCTGCATCGTCCTGCTGGAATATTTTATGATGCTAAGCCTGTTGCCCAGTTTTGTACATTCGTACATGTAAACCTGAATGGCAGGGAGAATTACAATCTCTCACCTTAGCTTTGTTGCATTTCTCTCAATCCCAGCTTCTCAACCTGGTTTAATATTGGGTTGCAAAAGCTTGTTTTTTCTTTCTGGTTTGAAATTCATACTACAGGTGTCCAGATTTGTGTTTTTAGACTACAACTTCCAGAATTCCCTAGACAGCATGAGGATTCTAGAAACTGTAGTCCAAAAACACAGATCTGTGCACCGCTAATGCATATCCTTTCTTTGTGCATTTTCCCCTACATGCACATATATTTATGCATTTCAACCAACTCAGTTTCTATCCATTGAACAAAGCATGTTAGTATGTATTTTTTCAATTGTATCCATATTAGCTGTTCACATTTTCAAATATATACATACTTTTATGCACACTGTATTTCTCCAAACCTGACAAATAGAATTATAGAATCATGAAGTTGGAAAGGGCCTATAAGACCATCGCTTCTAGCCCCCCTGCTCAGCACAGGGATATAAATCAAAGGATATCTGCTAGGTGATTGTCTAAATTTCTCTTCAATGCCTCCAGCACTTGCCACCTCTCGGGTTAATTGGAATACATGAATTCTCCAGGTGAGAAGCATTTTTTCTACAACAAGGTGCAAAAAGTGTGAAAATGTTGCTTTCAACATGACTTTAGAATCTAATGAAGCTCTTTATCATTCCTTCCTAAACTATTAGAATAGGCAAAACAAATACGATAAAACAAATACGTCTGCTCTTCAACTGCCACAATATTGATGAATACTCCATTCCAATCTGATTCATACAAGAAGTTGAGAAAATGTCAACGTCCTGCATGATGTTCATTCACTGCTACCTAATCCTGTCCACAAATACTTGCCATCAAAGTCAGTCTCATAGGCCTACCTGCAGAAAAGGTTGTTACCAAGAGCTGGCTGGACAAAACTAAATCTCTTCCAAATGTCTCTGACTAGAGATATTCCTTGTGTGAGACCTGATTTACTACTCAGAACACATCAATCTAATCAATCATCTGATTTTGGAAGCTAAACAGGATTAGACTCAAATGGGAGACTACCAGAGATTACTGGAGACCTCCAGGCAAGGATCAGGATTTCAGGATACCCATGTCATCCTGTTATATCTAGACCAATATGTGTGGCAGGAAGCAATTGGGGCCTGTTTTTCATTATGGCTAAGAGAAGATGACCTACAGATAGAAGAGTCTTTTGCATTTTTGGAGAAACCTGAATACATACCATCAGCAAAGAGGCTGATATTCTTCTGAACTTCCAGTTTTTGTTCTGGTTTGAAAATGAAGGTATTTTTCACTTTGATATTGAAAATGGTTTGGTTTCTGCAGCAGTCCCAGCGTATCAAAGAACCTACTTTTTGGGAAGTGCATGCCAGCTTTGTGAGGTTCCTGTAAACACCAAAAGACCCTTGTCATAAAGCTTGTCTACATGAGCTCAACTGGAGCGGGCTAAATAAGGTTGCATACGGTCAGGTAGGGGTCCTTGTAGCCACATGACGTATGCACTTTGAGCAACCCTATTTGGTCTCACTCCTTTAAGAAAGCAAAAAGTCAAGAAGAAACATTTCTGTCCTTTCCTCTCTCCTGTCTCCTCTTCTGAAAGGAAGACTTCAATTTTTAAAAATTACAGTATCTAAGTGTTGCAGTGCATCAGTGCTGCCCTAATCAGGTCCCCCCCTTTCTTCCTTTAGTTCTGTGGAGGAGAGGAGGAAGGAAACTCTTAATTTCCCAATTTAATTTCCCCACTTCCCCATATCACTCAATGGTCTGTTTAATCCACTGATGATATGGAGATATTGAGACCAGCTGGGAAATTTTAAAAAAGAAAGTCACTTTGGTTTGATCCCAGAAATCAGGCGTGCTGGCTAATGGGGTGGTCTTACCAACACCAAAACAAAACAAAACAAAACAGAAGGGACCTAACAGGGACCCAGAAAGGTGCCAGTAGGAACCAGGAATGACTTGGTTTGCTTTAGCAATTATGTTGTCTAATCATTGGAAAAAGGAGCAAACCCATTCTGCACTGGACAAAACAATGGAACAAATGCCTGTCTGACCACACCCTGATTGTTTTAAACAACAAAGTTGTTAACAGCTAGGTCTGTCTCAAGGAATCTCCTGTGAAAGCAAAGAAGGCCCAAGACCTGTTGGTGCCAAAATACCAGAGACGGTCATCCTTTCTGCCATGTCTTGGCCTTAAAGACTCTCAGAACTAGCCTTTATCAAAACAGTTGAGAGAGAAGTGTCTGTGCTACTGAGAGGTAGCCATTTAAAGGCACTGGTGCACTTTCTTCTTCTTTGTTCTCTCTCCTACCTACAAGTACTGCCACAGGGGTCACAGTGCAGGGTTAGGGGACATGAAACAAGTGGTGGCGTTAAGCTCTCCTCTCCCTTCTCTGGATGGCGGGAGAGCTACATCACCTTTGTATGTTTTAAGCTCTCCTCTCCCTTCTCTGGATGGCTACATCACCTTTGTATGTGAAAACATTTTCCTAACATTAAAAACACCCTGCAAGCCTCACAAATGTGTGGATTCTCAAAGTAACGTCCATTTCTTCTCACAGAAAGCTTTCATTGAGATTGTTGAATCCAACGGAATTATCTTCTACATCTACCTACTACACAGAAATTTAACATGGGAAGCTCTTCTTGCAAGATGAAGACTTAAACAGAGATGGGAAATGTTGCTGTGTGTGCACGCGTGCGCATGCACACACACTACAATTCTTAGAATCCATGCTGTGCATTCTGGGAGTTGTAGTCCAAAAGGCCCTAAATGTCTTCTAATATCTGAGAGTAGTTGTGTTTTGCCTGTAGTGGACTCTTTCTTGCAAAAAAGAAGGAAAAGTTAATTCCTGGCTGGCAGAAGCAATCTAGAGAGCTTCTGTGTTATGCTGCTGCTTTGGAGGGAATTATAGAGCTCAGGATTCAAGGATCACATTAGTAGCAGCACAGAGAAATTTCAACACAGCACAACTTCAGTCCTTTTCACAAGTATCCTCCTGAGCCTTCACTGAAAACTCACGGAGACTCCTATTCTCAGTCCAGAAGTCTGTACGTCCCTGAGCTGATTCCACCCTAGAACTTCTAGCAATTCTGCAGAAATAAAAGGTTAGGGCAGGTAAACTTCTTGATACCAGATTGTGGGGTGAGAAAAGTTCATTTTGAAACTACAGCTTCTAGAATCCTCAGCAGTTCCAATCTTGGAACAAAACTCCGAGTAGCTCTTCCATAGTCTGCCTATTCGCAGCTGGAAATTTTGGATGAGTAATCAAAATGGCCCAGTCTCCTGCTAATTCCACCCCCTCAGTGACTACCACATTTCCTTGTTTCCTGTCAGATTAAGGCATAGTTCCTCTTTCAAAGAAACAAGAAGTGAAAAATAGATCATGAAACAACCTCAGCTGCTCCCTCATCTTCTGCAGCAAACCAAGGATGTGTCTGCCTTCCACTCTTTCCTTTATTGTTTTTTCTTCACAGAAGGAAGACATAGCCCTTCCCCAACCATTACAACAGAATGTGTAGAAAGGGAACATGATTCATGCACACCCATAGTTGTATGCCTGTGTTCCATGGTCAGAAGGAAATATTAAGCATATAATCCATCCAAAGGAACCATGTTATAGTTTAGGAAATATCTTTATCTAATATCTAAACATTCTCTCTCTCTCTCTCTCTCTTTCTTCTCTCAAAAGATGAACATTTTAAACCTATTTTTATTTGTTTTTGTTTTTTTAACCATGAAGCACATTCAAATGTTTGTGACAAGTGAAAGCTAGTAGATACTTAATTCTAACCAACATATCAGCCCAGAAAATACAGTTTAGCCCACCTCGTAAAGGAATCAAGACTCCCTCAAATATTCCTTCCTGTCATGCCCAGCAGTCTCTAAAAAGTTGGTCAAGATGTTTTACTGCCTGAGGTAAAAGTCAAGATTATGTTTTTTCCCCTATTCCATGCAGTGAATCTGACTGAGCTGGCAAACAAATCTCCTATTGCACTAGCAATAGGAAGTACTTTCTGCTATCCCCAAATGCAATAGGGTGTCCTTTATGGGCTTCAAAGTACCCATGGCACCAGAGCTAAGAAATTTTACTTTTTTGGATTTCTGAATCCCCCAATAGCACACCTTGTTATCACAATGGCTATGGAATTCTGAGAGTTGTAGTCTCAAAATGGTCATTTTTAAGCTCGACAAAAGAAAGTGTAAATTTTCTTCAGAGTCCCTCACCAGTAATTGCCAACCTCTTCTTTAATAACCATCAGATCTATCAAGCCCTGTCTCAGCAGTAAGTCCAGACTTTCCAATGAGGGCAATAGTTTAACTTAATGGGGTGCAAGGAAGCAGCTTCAAACCATTGCTTGGAGAAATTATTATTATTACAGTTCCCAAGATCCCTCAGCCAGGATGAACAACGAGGACCATGCTGGTTGGAGAATTGCGATGGTTGTAGTGGGGGAAAAAAAAAGATTTTCCAAACTCTATCCAGCCCCTTAATACCATTCCCCTTCTGCTGGGAGCTGAGGTGGCTGCCTTATGCTGCTTAGTGGTCAGGGCAGCCTCAGGCAATAGCACTTCTCCATAATCTTTTGCACTGGGTGTTTGGCACTGAGGCACTCACAAGTAGTCATTTTTGTGGAGAAGGGTCATGTTGAGAAGATCCTTTGCCTCCTGGTGTTCAACCCAAGTGCAGGCGGTGAATGATTCGTAGTCAGTGGAACAGTTGAGGTTTTTCAAAAGTGGGCCTTCTGGAAAAGAACAAAGACTTAAACTAGTACTTTGCCAGGGAAAATGAAAAAAAGCATAGAATGAAAGGCTTGTAGGGGAAGTCTGTAACAGCAGCAGCAGCAGCGACAGTGAAGGTTCAAGAACCTATGGCTGTTTTAAGGCTCTAGGCATCTGTGCCAGATTAAAACATAGAAAGAAATCCTACCACCTTGGACATGTGTTTCAAGTGGAGCAAACATTACCCATAGCAACTCACAACTGCATTTTCCCCCAGGTTATTGCAAAGGTGCAGTTTCTGTCTGAAGCCACGATGGACTTTTATTCATTATACATAATTGCAAAACCACTGGATAGCCCAGTGGTTTAGGTATGTAGCTGTGGAACCAGAGGATGGGAGTCCTATTCCCCACTGTGCCTCCTACAAGTAGAGCCAGCCTGGCTTTGAGTAAGCTGCACAATCCTGGGAACCCACAAAAGAAGGGAATGGTAAACCACAACTCTGTATTCTCTGCCTCAAAAACCCTGGAAAGGGTTGCCATAAATTGGAATTGACCTGATGGCACACAATACATACATACGTAATTGCAAACAGAGATGGCACACAATACATACATACGTAATTGGAAACAGAGTTGTAATTAGAGATGGGCACGACTCACCATTTTGGCAAGTTGTCCTGCTTCTTGAGTCGTCAAAACTTGCCCATGAACCGACAAAGCACAATTGCCCCCACGGAGGTCTCCATCTGGCCTCCGCAGCCACGGCGTGTAAAAAGGGAGACTGGCTGCCCTTTGCAAAAAAGGCAGCTGCGGCTTCATTTAGGGTAGGGAAGCTACAGCTGCCATCTTTGTAAAGGGCAGCCTGGATACCCTTAAGGCAGGCTAAGGGAATCCAGGTTTCCTTTGCAAAGATGGCAATTGCAGCTTCCCCACCCTAAGTGAAGCCACAGTGGCCATCTTTGCAAAGGGCAGCCAGTGTCCCTTTCTACAGGCCATGGCTGTGGAGGCCTGCTGGAGATTGCAGCAGCAATTATAGTGCAGGGATTGGGGGGGTGGGGTGGCGGTGGGGTGACAGGGAGGTGGCTAAAGTAGGGAGAGGAAGGGGGTGGGGGATAGGCTGTGGGGGTGGGTGGCTGCCAATTGGCTTGCTGATTAGTTGATCAGCTGGCCGATAGGCCAAATGGGAAAGCCACAGGAAGTGACATATGGGGATGAATAAAAATGGGGAAATATTTATCCCTTGGTACTTGTGGGGTTCTCTGGAACCCACAAATATGAAGGAATGAATATTTAACGAATCGGCTCTTTCTGACAAATACTGTACTGCAATCTGTTGTTTTTTTTAAATTCATCCCCATGTCTAGTTGTAATTAGCAATGTTGGTGTCCAGGGTTTTGTCGCACTGTTGATGAACCTTGGTTCATGTGAGCTTGGCATATAAGGGGGAGGGCAATGGAGTAGGGCAGAAAGCTTGGTCTGAGCTGATGACAGTTGTATTGGTTGTGTGCCAAACCTGCCTACTTTATGTTTCTGCCTTCCTGAGGTAAAGCTGCTGAAAGCAGTGTAGACATGTGAAGTGGGCAGTTGGACACCCCGCCAGCAGCAAATACCAGCAGACAGGTTTGTGTCCATTTCACAACAATTTTTTGCAAGCTGTCTAAATCTAGCACCTTGGGTCAAAGCTCTCATCAGCCCAAGCCAGTTACAGACCTGATTGCAAGGTCTTCATTGCGCTCCCATGAGAAACCAAGGAGACGGAAGCTAGAATACAGTGGTGCCTCGCTTAACGAGAGCCTCACTCAGCGATGAAATCGCTTAACGAGGGGCTCTGGGCCATCGCTGGAGCATTCGCTCAGTGATGGCCCCTATGGCGTTTTTTCGCTTTGCGATATTCGCTAAGCGATTCGCTTAGAGAATATCGCATAACGAAGCGGGGGAGAACAGCTGATCGGCGGTTCCAAAATGGCCACCGGAAGGTCCGCGCTGCATTTTCGCGCCCTGCCCTCGCTTACCGAGGGCGCGAAAATGGCGGCGCTATGGAGGAAGATCGCTTAACAGTGAGTTTTAAAGCCATAGGAACGCATTGAACGAAGTTCAATGCATTTCTATGCCTTTTTTATTTCCATTTAGCGATGTTTCGCTATAGCGAAGGTTAATCCAAAACGGATTAACCTCGCTATGCGAGGCACCACTATATATGTGAAAGAATAAAAGTGATATAAAGAAGGGGAGGAGAAGAAAGAAGAGAGGGATGGGGGAAGAGGATTAAAAAACCTACCCCGAGCTATAGTGGTGTAAAAAATAAGGCTCAAGGTCAAAACAACCTTCCAGGACCTCATGTCCCTTCAATTTTTCTGTCCTCTCTCCAGAAAATGTCCTTTGGCAGAAGAGAATTCTTGGTGTTAGACACTTCTGATTGACAGCAACCTTCCTGGTGCTTTTTAAAAGGCTGTTATTTCTTCTGTATCACCTGAAAATTGAGACAAAACAAATTCATTATGATAAATGTATTCTTTATAAGATCTTGTGAATCTTGTGAATTCCATCTAACCCACTGGTTTCCAAATTCTCTACCTTCAGTAAATTCTGGTCATACTGCCCACAAAAACACCATTCATATCAGGGGATCTTGAGATGCATTGAAAAACGTGTCCACGTTGAGAATTTCATTTCAGCCAATTTTTGGAGAATTTATCAATGTCTGAGACATTCTTCATATCTGTGATGGAAAGAACTTAAGATTTTAAAAATCCAAATACAAGAGAAAGCAAAACTGATGGATTTTCCCACCCCAACTCCTGAATTTACCAGAAGACAATCTGGAGCTATCTGTCCTAAATTGTTGGCACTTTTAGAGAATGGCTCTCAAGCAAGTCAACAGAAGTGATGAACACAATCTCTGGCCAAAATGATTAGCTGAACAGATCAAAAAGTACTGATCTGTTTTTTGTTTACATCACATAGATACCTTTTATAAAGGGAAAAAAAAGAGGCAGAAACCAGACTATCCATCTGCATCAGAGACTCTCACTTTCCCAGCATCTCTTTACCAAGGAAGGTCCCTAAACAAAGTTCAGAAGCGAGAATTCCACAATCACTTACAGCCACATGGCACACCATGCAAAATTACCCAAAGCCTGATCTGCCAATCTCATTTTCTTTTTCTAAAAGCAGGTGTAGGGCTGAATTAGAGTGGGATTGCAATGCATGGAGAGGGAATCTTAGAGTGCAACTACATTGACAAATCATGTGGAAATTGCTCTGGTATTAAGATTGTCTGATTTGCATGATTTGCTATTGACTACATGGCATAGAAGTCTATGCAAATCAGCCCAGAGTTCTCCTCCACAAATCCATAGTTTTTTTCTTTCACCACTGGAGCTTCTACTTTTCTGGAATCAAATGCCTTCACATTGGTTCAAGTGGCATGATTGCTTGACCTAATGTGGAGGGGTTTGTAGCTGTTGTTATTTAAAGGCATTCCAGTTGGGCCCAGCAGCAGTGAGACAGGCAAGGCAGCAAGGAAACTGGCTACCTTTTAAATCCTCTCATCTCGGCATCTGGTGCCTGAGCCTCCTTCCTTCCTTTCAAGACTTGCTAATCTAGTGCCAGGGCAATGACCAATGGGGGGAAAGGGGGGGGAGTGAGGATTTTGCAGAGAAAGGAGGAAGTTTTAAAGTACCAAGGTGCCTTCTGCATATCGGGATGGTCAGAGAGAGCTCCCCTAAAACTCTCTCCCCTCTCTCTGCCAGGTCCTCACTCCTTTTGTTTTCTTAGCAAGCTGGAAGTAAGGTGTGAAATTTTGTATGCATAGAGTGTTAAAATAATAAGTGTAGAAAATGCAATCTTGAAGTGAAAATTTCCTCCTGTCTCTCTGCTGATTCTATGCTTCTCTCTGTGCCTCTGTCTCTCTTTGGCCACCTAGGTGCCCTAGGCTTAGGACAGCAAGCCCAAGGGAGGAAGGGAGGAAGGAATGAAAACAAGCAGACTAGGCACCATGTGTAGGGAAGATCTATCTATCTATCTACCTACCTACCTACCTAGCTAGCTAGCTAGCTAGCTAGCTAGCTAGCTAGCTAGCTAGCTAGCTAGCTAGCTAGCTAGCTAGCTAGCTAGCTAGCTAGCTAGCTAGCTAGCTAGCTAGCTAGCTAGCTAGCTAGCTAGCTAGCTAGCTAGCTAGCTAGCTAGCTAGCTAGCTAGCTAGCTAGCTAGCTAGCTAGCTAGCTAGCTAGCTAGCTAGCTAGCTAGCTAGCTAGCTAGCTAGCTAACCCAAGGTGGCTTACATCCTTAAATATGCGGAAGCTAAAAACAGTAGGCATACAAATATTTTAAAAGAATTAAACAAGTATTATAATAAAAATAGTAATAAAATCAATACAAAAACACATTTAAAACAAAAGAGCACAACAGTTCATTTAAAACCTCTCTCATGCTTTCAGTCATTAAGGAAGAGCCTGCCGGAAGAGAAAGGTCTTTGCCTGCCTGTGGAAAAAGATGGGGCAAGCCTAGCTTCCTGTGGGAGGGAGTTCCAGAGTCTGAGAGCAGCAACAAAGAAGATTCTCTCCCGTGTCCCCAGCAAGCACACCTGTGAGGGTGGCAGGACTGAGAGAAAGGCCTCCCCTTAGGTTCTTAAAGCCTGGGCAGGCTCATAGAGGGAGATGAGGTCTTTTAGACAGCCTGGACCCAAGCCATTTAGGGCTTTGTAGGTCAAGACCGGCACTTTGAATTGTGCCCAGAAATGGATCACCAACCAATGACCTCTGTAGCCAGCTCCAGTCAGTACAGTGGTGCCTCGACTTACAGCCATAATCCGTTCCAGAAGATGGCCGTAACTCGAAAAGGTCATAAGTCGAAGCACCATGCCAAGCCCCATAGGAACGTGCTGGGGCTGAAACACACACACACACACACACACAGCTAGCCCCAGTGGAACTCTATGGGGCTAGGGAAAAAACACACCGGACTTCAAACAATTAGCTTTGCTAAATCTGTCTCTTCCTTTTTCAGAAAATTAGCAGGCCATAAATACTTGCCATACTTAACAGCATATGCTATCTCTGTGACACTGTACAATAGGTCAGTAACTTTTAAAAAGAAGATTTAAAGTTTATATGTAAAGCATATCTAAACATGGGTTGCGGAAATGCTTTTAGACACAGATGGTGAATTTTGTGAAATGCATCTCACCGACTGCCACAATGTGACAGCTGAAGAGTCAGCCCCAGCGGAACACCATGGGGCTGGGGGGGAAAACACAACCCCCACCCACCCACACAGCCAGCCCCAGCGGAACAATATGGGGCTGGGGAAAAACAAACAACCCCCCCCCCACACACACAGCCAGCCCAAGCAGAATGCCATAGGGCTGGTGGAGAAAAACCAAAAACAACCCCTCCCCACACACACATTCAGCTCAAACGTGATGGGGCTGTGGAAAAATCATACCAAAACACACACAAAAAAAACATAACCCCCCAAAACCCAAACCCACCCTGCAAAACAAAGTAAGCCTCCTCCGACACATACACTCTAACCGTTGGGGCGAAAGAGCTTCAAATTTGAATTCCCCGCCTTTTTCCCCTGGCTCTCTTGATCACAACTCAAAGCTCCGCCGCAAGTTGAAGCAAAATTTTGCAGCCGTAGATGGTCGTAACTCAAAATGGTTGTATGTCGGGACGGTCGTAAGTTGAGGCACCACTGTAATCAGGTTGTTCCATTTTGGACCCTCTGGAGTTTCCAAACATTTTCCAAAGACAACCCCACGTAGAGCACATCACAATAATCTAGTGAAGATGTAACTAGGGCAGATCAGTCTTCTCAAGAAATGTACCATGATACAGTAGTTTTCACTTTGCAAAGGCACCTCTGGCCACTGCTGAAACCTGGGCACCTAGGCTCATAGATGAGTCTAGGAACACCCTCCAAAGCTGCACACCTGTACAGTATTTTCAGAGTATAACCTCATCCAGCACAGGCTGCAACCTTATTCCTTGATCTGCTTTTTGACTGACCAGGAGCACCTCTGTCTTGTCTGGATTAAGTTTTAATTTATTCACCCTCATCCAGTCCATTACTCACGCTAGACACTGATTTAGAACCGAAACAGCTTCCTTGGATTTAGATGGAAAGAAGGGATAGAGTTGGGTGTCATTAGCATACTGTTGACACTGAACCCCAAAACTCCGGATGACCTCTCCCAGAGGTTTCATGTCAATTTTAAATAGCATAGGGGGACAAAACAGATCCCTGAACAACACAGCAGGCCAAAGGCCAAGGTGCCAAACAGGAGCCCCCCAGCACTACCCACTGGGTTCTCCCTTCCAGGAAGGACTGGAGCCACTGCAAAACAGTGCCTCCAAGTCCCATCCCAGAGAGATGTCCCAGAAGGATACCATGGTCAATGGCATCGAAAGCCGCTGAGAGGTCCAGCAGAGCTCTTGACCACTTGGAAGAGCTCAGCTATGCAGACTCAATGGTGGCAGTGATGAACGAATAGAACTTCCAATGGAAACAGGCCTTCAAATGGATTCTAGCCTGTGTTCGGTTGGATTCATTCTTTTTCACCATTATTGCTCTAGTCTCCGTCCCATTCATTTCATCATCACCAGTTCCCCCATAAACCAGGGGGCTAATTTGGCTCTGCCTCATGGGAGGGGATGCTTAGGAGTGATTATGTCAACCACCCTGGCCACTTCTCCATTCCAAAGGTCAACCAGGGCTTCAACAGAATCTCTTGCCAAAGCAACAGGAAACTCCCCAAGAGCTGTCAGAAAACCATTTGGATCTATCAGCCTCCTGGGGTGGATCACACCTGCAGAGGCTTCACGTTCCAGTAAGTCTAAACCCCACCAGATGATGATCTGTCCATGACAACAGAACAAAAGAGAGTTCCTCCACACTCAGATCACCAACATCCACCCCAGCACAGAAAACCAGGTCTTAAGTGTGCCCTGCAGTGGGGGCAGAAACCATTTGAGACAGACCCATGGTTGAGAAGTCCCGAGTCACTCCTAACAAAGTTGCCTTAGCATGAATGTCCCCGGTACAACAAGCCAAGAAGACTCCAACACCACCCACGAGACCAGCACAGTGACCTCAGGCTGTTGAGCAGCAGGGTGGGTGGTACACCAGCAGATTCCCTTTTCTGTCCCAGATGCCCACTTTCAAATATACTCATTCAAACCCAGAAAACTGGGGGAAGTGGCACTTGGTGAGGGGGTATAGTATCACCACGATAGACCATTGCAACTCCACCTCCCTGCCCCACAGGTTTTGCTTGCTGCTACACAGAGAACCCTGCCGGACAAAGTTGGGTGAATTTGACACCCCTAGCCTCATCCGAGCCACATCGGCCTGCTCATCCAGGATCAAGTTCTGGATGGCTATTGTTTTTCCATTTACCAATCTGGCATTTAGCAGCAGCAGTTTCAACCCAGGGGGGCCTTTCACCATGGCTATCCAAGTGATCTAAGTTTGGGGACAGTTTAGGGGCAACCAATTTCCCCCTTCTCTCTCACATGGTGCTGTGAGTGCTGTCCCCCACCATATCTCCCCCTGCCCTGAACAACTCCAATAGCTGCTCCCTGGTTCTCTTTCCCATCAAAACACATCCCTCCACAAGCAGGCAAAGACTAAATGAGCAGCTTCCCCTCCCCCACTCCAGTTGGCAGGGACTGGGAAGAACATCATAAAAAGCTAAAAAGAGAAGGGATGATTTGG